CTGGTCAGGATGCCTCCTGGACGCCTCCCTGGGGAGGTGTTTCGGGCATGTCCTGCCGGCAGGAGGCACCCGGGTCGACCCAGGACACGTTGGAGAGGTTACATCTCCAATCTGGTCCGGGAACGCCTTGGGGTCCTGATGGAGGATCCGGTGGAGGTGGCCGGGGAGAGGACTTTCTGGAGCTCCCTAGTTCGGATGCTGCCCCCGCGACCCGGACCCGGATAAGTGGAGGAAGACGAAGACAACAACATTTTATAAGAAGATTCCAGTCACAGGTAAAATAAAAAAAGTCAAAACGGGACTCGTTTTACGTTCTGGAGTCAAGCATGTCTTACGAACATCTCAGATATTTTGAAGTAAGGTTACTATCTGTTATCGATAGCTCCATAGACAATATCAAGTTAAAAAAGTTTAAAATAATCGTTGTAACCAGATTAACATGCTAACTACTAGTCACAACACAGCCAAAAACAAAGTGGAAAACCGTCATCTTAAAACATCAAAAATCTCTATAAATTCATAGCAGTTCATTCAGTTCACATCAGTTATTTACATAGAATTCTATGGTCACTTGCAGCCAATGATAGCAGAAAAGCTACATGTAAGCAGAACTTCTACTTTAAAGTTAAAATAAGTAAAAATCCTACAATTAAATAATCACAAAACTGTCTAATGTCTCAATCTGTTTGAAAGGATGGTTACATCTAGACAGGTTTCGTTCTTAGCCGGCTGGAGGGACGTAGTCTTTGGGTGTTTCTCAATGTCAAGGCGCCTTGCCTTGTGAGGTGAAGTCTTGCGAGGTCAGGCGCCTTGCTTATGAGGACACTGTCCTTCCTTGGTCAAAGAAAACAGTTAAATGGAACAGGATTGCATCACGTGACCGCGGCTTCCACGGCGGTCACGTAACGTCACGTGACACGGGAGATAACGTTATATTTTATATGTATTAGATTCAATATAACTATATAATGAGCCTTTTACTTTTTAAATTGTGTATACATTTGTTAAGTTAAAAATATAAGCGAGTTACTACCCGCTAGCCACCGAAGCTGCAACTACCAAGCAACTAACCAACCACAGATAACTTCTTTGGATAAAAAAAAACATTTTAAATTAGCTGACTTACTTTTAAACTTGAAAATTGTCCCCCTAGTAGCTTCTAGCTTCTGATCTGCCGTCTTTTTGAAAATACTGCGGTGTATTCTGGGTCATTTTTGACCAAGGCTAGGCTACAAGACACCTCCCGTGTATCCTCGATCAGCTAGCTAAACGGCTAACAAACTGAGAACACACTCCTCGGTAGAACATGAACATTGGAACCGATTGGAACACCTGTTGGCGGCTCCTGATGACGTATCTCCTAAGCAACCGGGGCGGGGCCAAGACATCAAGGCAATGTTCCTTGACATTGAGAAACACACTTTGTTTACAATCTGTGATCCTGCGGGTTGCCAAGTCTGTGCTGGCAAACGTGGCTTGCTTCTGCGTCAGCATTTGTGATTTGTCACTGCCTTTCAAAAAGCAGCAGAAAACCAGAACCAATAACAGGAGCGACCCAGAAGTTATTTCTTGTACCCCTAAGAAGCTACGGCATCTTTTCTGTTTTACTCTAATATCAGAAGGCTAAAGGCTAACGTGAGCTAACGTTGAGCTAACAATGCTAACTGTGAATAAGAAAGAAATATTCGGTTCCAAAAGTAACTCAAGCAGCTTTTTCAATAATCAGCAACTTGATATTATAGTAAAATGTTTTTTATCTATTTATCAACTTACTGGGTATGACTCGTCTTCACACGTCATCTAGAATCTTCTACCGCTGATTCATAACTGGCAACCGCAGTGAAACTCGCAGAATGGAAGGGAGAGAGTCACTCAGAGAGGGTTATGTTGTTTTAAAAGTTGGACTGCAGTACTCTATTTTGGCCACAAGATGTCATTCTTACCTTATGTACCCTTAAGCTTCTAAACACTTTTTCAAGAATAACTAAGAAACACAAACTCAGTGTTACGACATTTTTAAAAATAAAATTGTATCCGTATAAATCTCAAAGGTGGTTCTGACAAGAGTTCTTCCAAGATGGCAGGAATTTTTTTGTAACCATCTCTTTGTATTCAATTCAATTCAATTCAATTCAAAAGTACTTTATTAATCCCACAGGGAAATTGATTGCTGTAGTAGCTCAGAATAATAATAATAATAATCAAGTCATCAAAGAGTTGTTGTATATTACAATGGCTGTTGGCAGGAAGGATCTCCAGTAGCGGTCAGTGTTGCAGCCAAACTGAAGAAGCCTCTGACTGAAGACACTCTTCCGTTGTCGGACAGTCTTGTGAAGAGAACGCTCAGGGTTGTCCATCATTTTCTTGATTCTCTGGAGAATCCTTCTTTGCATTATCTCCTCCAGCGGTTTCGAAACTGCCGAAACTCTGGCTGAGTCCTTGAAAGGGCTTGGAGTTCCTCCATCTTGTTGGCCAGTGATCTCACATTGCCCATTATGATCGATGGAAGAGATGGTTTGAATTTCCTCTTTCTCTGTCTCCGTTTTGCTCCCGCTCTGCACCCACGCTTCTTGCGTTTTAGCTTATTTGGGGTTTGTGGCTTCAGTTGAGGTATTATTTCAGCCTTCCCAATGTTAATCAGCTGCTCCCGATTGTAAACCAGCTTGTTGCCATGGTTACGCATCATAACAAATGTTCAAAAAGTGAAAAAAGCTAAAATATAGCAGTAAAAATCCTCCAAGCTTCACAGCACCAGAAACAGAAAAGCAAAATGTCCAAAGAAAAAAACAAAACAGTTTTTCTTGAGAAACTAGAAGAAAAAATGCCCAAGAAAAGGCAAAACTTACATATAGTCAACAGAGCTACTCCAACATGCAGCCACCCAGAGCAGCGCAGTTCCGGAAAAAAAAAAAGAAAAGAAAAAAAAAGCAGCGTTTTACAAATACTAAGGATCAATAAAGAGCATTCACAGGCAACAACAATTTATATCCGGGTTTATTAAACAAACTGGTGGCCCCTGGTGGGGCAGCAGTAGCTCAGGTGGTAGAGCGGGTTGCCTCATGATCAGAGGGTAAAAGACATCAGTGGCAATGCAGCCCCTCCCCCCTCTGACTTTATAACACTAGGAGTCATCTGGGGTCCTTCATCTGGGGTCGATTCCAGCTCCCGCCAGGGGTATCCTGCTGTTGTGTACTTGGGCAAGACACTTCACCCAACTTACCTGTGTTAGTGGTGGTCAGAGGGGCCGACGGCGCCAAATGGCAGCCTCGCCTCTGTCAGACCTCCCCAGGGCTGCTGTGGCTACAAGCAGCTTACCATCACTAGTAGTGTGTGAATGTGAGAGTGTGTGAAAGCGTCTTTGGGTGTCTTGAAAAGCGCTATATAAGTTCAATGCATTATTATTATTATTATATCTGTTTGCAGGACTAAAGACACAAACCCTGTGATTTGTGTAGACAAACGTGCAGATAAACTGTCTCCCTAGACTGTGATCCTCTTATATGCACTGATTCTGACAACCATAACGTACCTTTAGGTTATAGTTTGAATCTTTACTTGGACATTATGATTATGCTAATCTAAGTGCTACAAATGCCACCAATTTAAACTGGAAATAGCTTTAAAATGACTCATACAGCAGCATGTTCATCATTTTATTTTACAACGTAACTCCTTTCTCAGGCGTGCGTTTCTCCGGTGTCTGAAGTCAGATTCCAGGCAGCGGCCTTGGTCAAAATGTGTGAATATAAAACGGGTGTAACTACAGCGCCACAGATCATGCTGCTTCCTCCACCAATCCTTGTTAGAAAAACGACGACATCCTATTATTAACCGAACTAAACCAAAAGAGAAGATGGAAACAAGCTTCCTAGCTACTCTATGTAGTTCACACTTTCATCAGTGGCAATGCAGCCCCTCCCCCCTCTGACTTTATAACACTAGGAGTCATCTGGGGTCCTTCAAGTTGGGATGGCTGGTGTTTTTTTTTTCTTCTATTTTTTGGCCTTGGGTTGTTTGATCATGCAGAACCATCGTTGTTCACAAATGTTCCCCAAACAGGAGTGACCTAAAAAGGTCAGAGCTCTGAGAATAACTCCTGTGATATTTAGATACTGCCTCCTGATAGCCTTGCTGGAGGTGAAGCTGAGTCAGTTGGCATGACTGACCTTTACCTCCCAGCAAAGAGTTTCAGAAAGGCGTATGGAGTAGAATGAATCTGAAAAAAGTTCAAATTAGTTCAGGGATTGGAAACTAGTGGCTCCTGGACCGAATGTGGCTCTTGAGCTTATTTCATCTACAGCCGGGCGTACACGATGTGATTTTTGGCCCTTTTTAGCTGATTTTGTGAGACAGTCTTTGAGGTTGGGATGACCACTTCCCGATCTGCAATGTTTGAAGTTCTGCTCACCCTCATGAGTGTATCGCCCTGTTGCCAAGGCCCAAACGTACCGGAACCGGTCACGTCTGCCCGGCCATGTCCACGAAACGTTTACACTTTTTTCACACACATAATGGGAAGGATTGTCAAGAAATGTAGTTTGTTGTGTTTATGTCAAATAAAAATAGATCTCAAAACATTGGTTTACTTTTTTCCTGCGTGTTCTCCTACAACTACGACAAGCCTTAGGGACAACAGACATCAATAACAGTTGGTTCTCTTCTGGGTTTTTGGATCTGAAGACTGAAAACTACTATTTTTTTAGCCTATTTTTAGCTGTTCGTGTTCCCACCACAGTTTAAGATGGTGAACTAGACCAAATTCTTGCTTTGCAAAGTTTGCAAAAATAATATATTTATTTAGTCTGGCTTGTCTGGATGTAAAAGTGAAAAGTGGAAATATTAAAGTAAAAATATCAGTGACCACGGCTTCTAAACACCCCCCCCCCCCCCCCCCCAAAAAAGAGAAAGATTTTCCCTTTTCTCACAAAAATCCGCACACATGACGCAGCACTCCTACATTATGCAGTGGTCTTGGATTCAAATGTCGCAGATGATCGCCCGTTCTTCAGTCAGGAGAGAGAGGGAGAGAGAGACGCGGGGCAACAGCGTTGTGACTCACATGGAAGTCTGCTCCTCCACCTCCTCCTCCACCTCCTCTACCACCGCTGTGTAATCTGGCTGGTCCAGGGCTCTGGCGCACCGACGCGCACAGCACTTTGCCTTGTGATAAGACTCCTTGGAAGAAGACGAGAAGAACCACAGCTCTGACCCGCAGCCACATTCACGGTTAATGAAGAAAACACGCTCAACTGGTGGAGAAAACAATCAAACGGATTTTACAAAATCATCCATTTTTATGTTTATATTCTGAAATTTAACACGTTTTGGAATACTTTTGAATTATTCTGTAGTTTTTTGTGAACTGTGGATCTTTTTGTCCTACGTGGGGATGTTTAGACTTTAGTTGGAGACGCACGCGCTGCGTTTAAGAACATCTGGAGGAACATCACCTAGGCTTGTTTGCTTTCTCCAACAAACTGGACCGAACGAGTTCCTCTTCTTCTTCAGCCTCCACGGACATCTGCACCCAGGGACCCCTCCACCGCGACCCCTCAGAGAGAGGCTTCCCTGCGCCTCCATGAACGCCCGGTCCGCTGGAGAGGCTCGAGGCTGGGCAGCAAGATGAGCTCGTGGGTAAAGCTGCTGCTGCTCGCGCTGCTGGCGGCGTGCGCGCGGTGTGGCGCGGCCGAGGTGAGTTCAAACCACCGGACTACAAAACCCAACAGCCTCCAAAGGTATGGAGCGCCGTTTGTAAAGTCATTTTAAAACAGGTTATGAAGTTTGCAAAGCTGCAAGCTACTTACAAGTTACATCTAAACACAAGTCTAAATAATCTCGTCAAAACAACCATATAGAGTCAAATCTAAATATTTTAAGTGTGAAGAAAATTAATAAAATGCCAAAATCTGTGAAAACAGTCAAATGAACACGAGGAACTTGGTTCTCCTATTTCTGTGAGGATTGAAAAATAAACTGAAACTTTGCGTGATTTTAGAACAATTGAAAGATTCCCACAAAATCCCTTGTGACCACGTTTTTTTCACATGCAAATAAATAAATAAATAAATAAAAACAATAAATAAATGTTTTTATTTATCCAAAAACTGTAAAACAATTTACATTTAAAATTTGAAATCTAAATATTAATTTATTTAGTTTTAACTAAATATTAAGCTACCATAAAGTCCGAGATTGCTGTAAAATGGAAGTAGCCTACCAAAATAAAAGCAAAATATGAATGATCTTTTGGTGGTAAGCTAGCATAAAACATCCATCAAGATTTCTTTCTGGGTTGAACCCTGCACACTGATAAATGACAGTAACAAAGGGTCTCCAGGTTTTTTCTTCTCACACTGCTTTTATTTTGGTAGGATACTTCTGATTCATGGCTGTCTGACTAAATATTTACACAAAATACTACATTTAGACTGGACTTCAAATCTATTTGATTCTTTGTAGTTAGAAATCACTAAAAAAAGTACCTTTTAATTTCAAATATTTAGGTTTGATTTTAAATATCTAATTATCATGTTCTGGTTCATTCTAAATGTTTAGGTAGAATTTTATTCTGCCATGTTTGTTTATAAATATGTAAATAATCATAAATATGAATTTCACTATAAATATAAATAGTGCAGCTCTTTCTGAATAGATTTGATGCTTTAAATTTATGTTATTTCAGAGCATCATGGTGGTGCAGTTAGCACTGCTGCGTCGCAGTAAGAAGGTCACAGGTTAGAATCCCTGCTGCAGATGCTACATGGAATTAGCATGTTAGCATGCACGCGTAGGTTGCCTTCGGGTGATTCGGTTTTGTCCCACAGAGTAAGAACTTTATCAAGTTACCTGGAGACTAGGTGTGAGTGAGTAGTTGTCTTTCTCTGTGTGTCCCTGTGATGGACTGTTATGGGTGTCCCCTGTCTCTCGCCTGAGGACCGGTAGAGACACCAGCACTTGTCCAAACCCACTGAGGATTAAGCAGTCCAGAAAATGGATGGATAAATTGTATTTCAATTAATTACCTTTTGAGCATAAAAGGTAATATTTAACTTTACGTATTTTCAGGAATTCGTAATATTTAGGTTTGTTTCATACATCTTTGTAGCTCCAAACATTTTTTTTACTCTATTTAGTTTTCTTATGTGACCTTCAGGTGTGTGTGTGTGCACCTGTTTCAGCTCACCCTAACATCTCAGGCTCGTCCTTATGTTTTCAGTAGTTGTAGGATATTATATGGACTAAGGGACTGGATTCGTGCAGAGAACTGATGCAGCAGAAGAACAGAGGAGGATGAAGTGTGGGGGGTTCACTTACAGCTGGATCCTCCTGCTCCAGATGTTGAGAGGAGCCGTAAATCTCTCTTACTCTGCTGTTTTCAATTGAACTCAAGTTTCAACTCAACTTAACACCCAAATGTGTCAATAAAGCTACTTTCCTGCTACTTGTGGACAAAGAGAGAAAGCAGGGAGGTAGAAGAAGTCGCACCATGTGCTGAGGTCAAACGGGAAGCCCAAACTTCACCAGGGGTCTTTGGCGGGTCAAGTGAGGCTTGACCGATGGGGTCTGACCCGGTTGGACTCAACGACCAGCGTTCAGTTTAACGAGGTTAACATTAAAATCAAACCGGCTCCATAAACTGAATGATCAGATGTGTGGGTGTGGTTCTGTCTAACATCACAGACTCATTTAAAGGAATATTTTGGAGCTTTGAACTCCCTGTCGTCACGTTGTCTTCTCATTCTGTAACATTTGCAGGAAACCACATGAAACACGAATCCAATATTTGTTGCTTTAAAGGAAGAAGTTACTCAAACTTTGAAGTGTATAGCCAGGAATTCCCCACATCCTGCTGTAAAGGAAAAAGACATCTAGGAATTTGTTCAAACGTAGATCCAAATATCGTGCTTTTCAAATAATAATAATAATTGTAAGAACTGCAATGTGACCCGCAACGTCACTGCAAGTCTTCCCAGATTGATTTACATGAAAACAATGGAATCAGTTAATCTCATTCACACATTGCTGCACGCGTTGGCGTGCTCGCCGCTGGATGTGAAACTTCCCACAGGTGCTGCTGTGCCGCCAGCAAGCTCAACCCTCTAATTATGTACGATTAGGCACCCCACCCACCCACTGCAAGCGCTGCCGGTACCTGGCATTCCTCAAGGTGTCTGCAGGTTCTCCAGGGGACGAGCCGGGATGCTGCAGTAGGGGGATAACGACCGTCTTACGTCAAAATGAGTGTTTTCAGAGGCAAAAAGCATGCAGGGTGCAGCCGGCAGGGAGGCTGTAGTTTGTGTGTAGTTCATCAGAATTTGTTTTGTGTAAGCAGAAAAACGACAGCCTCGTCAGCAGAAGCTCAGACGTTGATTCAGCTGAACTAATCAACAAGGGAACGGCACGACTGAATCCCAAACTACGGATCCCTGTCATGTTGTGGGGCAAGAGTCAAACCCAGGACATGCAGAATTAGAGTCAGAGTCGGTTTGTTTGAAAAAATAATATTTATTGACAAAACGATGAACTAAGAGCGCACTGGAAAACCAGCGGGTGCAGAAACGGGAGGCAACGTCTAGAGGGGAGAGGAACAGGGGTGAGTATGGAAGTAGTAATATGGTAGGGGAATTGCGGACGGAGGGACTTACGGCTTAGAGAGACGAGACGTGTGTGGGAGGGGTGAGCCGGGGTAAGTCCAGGGAATGAATGTAGAGCGGTTGAGGTGAATGGTGAAATTGGATCCGGACCAAGGTGGTTCTGGAGAGGGAGCGAGAGGTGGAGGAGATCGGTCGGCACTTGGAGGAGGGTGAACCAGGAGACGAACCAGAGAATAATCCAAAACGGCGTCGGGAAAAATCCTGATGGTCATCCAGACCTGAGGTGAGTAAATCCATAAAAAGTATCAGTCCAAGTCACGAGAGAAAAACACACTAGAGAAACTAGAGCTAGAGATAAGCGAGGACTAGAAACTACCAGTCAGTGCCAATCATCCGGCGTCGAGTCATGTCCACCTTCCTCCTTATAAACCGGCCCGCTGATCAGCTGATTAGAAACAGCTGTTGCTCCCTCTCCTGAAACCAAGCACTCAGAGATCGTGAGAAGATGAGAAGAGTACTCACCCCGGCTCATGACAGTACCCCCCCTCAACGGACGCCCCCTGGCGTCCTAGCCGAGGCAGCCTCGAACTCCCGGATGAGGGATGGGTCCTCAATGAACGAACGCAGCACCCATGACCACTCTTCAGGACCGTAGCCCTCCCAGTCGACAAGGTACTGGACTCCTCTGCCCCGACGACGAGAGTCTAGGATCTTGCTGACCGTGTAGACCAGACCACCCTTGTAAAGTCGAGCAGGAGGAGGATGAGCTGGAGCAGGACAGAGAGGACTGGAGACCACAGGCTTGACCAGCGACACATGAAAAACCGGATGCACACGCAGGGAGATGGGAAGGTCCAGACGAACCGTAGTGGGAGAGGGTACGTCCAAAACCTTGAAGGGGCCAATGAAACGAGGAGATAACTTGCGGGATGAAGCCTTTAAAGGGATATCCTTAGAAGAATGCCAGACCCTCTGTCCAGGTGTGTAAACCGGAGCCGGACGCCGCCGTTTATTCCTGAGACCCGTTCGGTCCAGTGCTGCCCTGGTGGAGGCCCAGGCGCATCTGGCACCGCGGAGGAATTGAGGTACGGAGGAAACAGAGGTTTGCTGGGGAAAAAGCGAAGGTTGGTTTCCGAGAGACGACTGAAAAGGTGACTGACCTGTGGCGGAGGATATATGACTATTGTGTGCATATTCAACCCAAGGAAGGTGAGTACTCCAGGAGGATGGATGAGACGAGCAGACACAGCGCAGCATGGCACCCAGCTCCTGGTTCATCCGCTAACACTGTCCATTGGTCTGGGGGTGATGTCCCAAGGTGAGAGCCACCTTAGCTCCTAGAGCCTCCGCAAATTCCTTCCACACCCTGGAGACAAATTGCGGACCACGGTCGGACAGGATTTCCTCTGGGATGCCATGGAGACGGAGGACGTCCTTTACCAGAAGCTGCGCTGTGTCTGCGGAGGAGGGAAGAGATTTGAGTGGGACCAGGTGACAAGCTTGGGATGGGGCGACGGTGGCACAGGAGTTAAGTGCTCGCCCCGTAATTGGAAGGTTGCTGGTTCGAGTCCCGCTCAGTCTGTCGCTGTCGTTGTGTCCTTGGGCAAGACTTTTAACCCACGTTGCCTGCTGGTGGTGGTCGGAGGGACCGGTGGCGCCAGTGCTCGGCAGCCTTGCCTCTGTCAGTGCGCCCCAGGGCAGCTGTGGCTACATCGTAGCTCATCCCCACCAGTGTGTGAATGTGTGTGAATGGGTGAATGACTGATTGTGTTGTAAAGTGCCTTGGGGGGTTCCAGGACTCTAGAAGGCGCTATATCAAATAGAGGCCATTTACCATTTACAAGCTTTAGAAAATCGGTCGACAATGGTGAGAATCGTGGTGAAACTGTTAGAACTAGGCAGACCACATACGAAGTCCAAGGCTATGTGAGACCAGGGGCAAGATGGAGTGGGTAGTGGATGGAGAAGACCAGCTGGGAGGCGATGGTCACCCTTTTGTTGTGAGCAGGTTTGACAGCCTGAGATATAGCTCTTGGTGTCTTTGAAGATGGAGGGCCACCAGAAGGTCCGTCTTATCAGTGCCACGGTTCGACCTAC